TAGCTGTCAATTTTTTTGAGGTTTACTTTGAGCAGGTCTAGTTCTTGGCGATGAGAGTCGAGGCTTTGTTGGCATGTTTTCTGGTAGTCGTTGTGGGTTTTTGTTTCTTCTTGAATGTCGTTGATTGAATCCCAAGCCGCCTCTAGAGATTTTTCTACGTCTCTCAGGGACCTTTTCACACCATCAAGTTCTTGTTTCATTTCGTGTCTCAAGACTGAAATTTCGGATGTCAGGTTTCCAAAATGCTCTTGCATTTGGTTATCTAAACGAGAAAGTTTGTCCATAATTTGCTTAAACTGCTCCAGGCTAAGGGCCTCAGATTGTTTGCTGTCTTCCATCACAGTGCTGCTAGAGCGATGATTTCTTTTGGGCGATGGCGTCTGTTGTGAAGACGAGCTTGATGATCTGTTTTCTCGCCCGTTTCTTTTAGACATTACAGCCGCCGGGTCTACCGCCAGATTTTGGCATCGATTTTTCATTACCAAGATATTAGAATACAAAAATGACACAAAAATTCAACGGCGTACTTCCCGTCCACAAATTTACGCAGCGACAGTGACACGTCTTGCCGCCATGATTGCTCGACCCAATCTCCGATAAATATAAACTTATCTTTGGTCTTTAAACTCCATTATGTTCCTCCTGTTAAATAATGTTGGGCTTTATTTTAGTGTCGGCCTCCGCTTTATAGAGGTGTCCGCTGAATTCGTTCGTTATAAGTACAGGTAACAGCATTATTTGTAGTGATATTTGGCATAAATACCACAAGTGATATTTCCAAATTGTTATACGTAATTTCACGAGCTGTTCGGCGAGTGAAATTTGGGACAATTTTGAAATATCACGAGCGGTATTTATACAAAATATCACGTACAAATCATGCTATTATTTGTTATACTGCTACCCGCAAAAGGTGTGTAATTTTCACATACAGGTATTTCAAATTAACCTGAAATACCACTGCTCTAAGCCAATCAAACTGCAGAAATTTTTCATCTAGTAGTATAAAGGGAAATATAAGACGTTAATTTCGGGACCCGGCTTAGTCTCCGCTTAATAGAGGGTGTCCGCTTAATTGGGGGTCTGCTTAATAGAGTTATCAATGTATGTACTATATTCGAGAGACATGTCACAAATAAAAACAAATCTTAGCTTAGTCAATCTCCTTTTAACTGAAATGTCGGCGAAATGTCATTTTGATCATTTCCGAACAAATTCAACAAGGTTAAAGCACGAGTTAGCTATTAAAGGAGAAAAGAAGAACTGAACCGGCCATGAAATTTGAGCCCTTGTTCTTATGTACCATTAGTGGCGGTGTCAACCCTATACTTTAATACCATCAGTACGTTCTGTTGTTTCACCACCCTATTCCCCCTCAGGTGCAGGCTGCGGTACCGTTAACCAAAAAATAAAAGCCCATCTGATATCTACTAGCAGCACAAAGTAAGTGAGGAAATAGTAAAAAACGTTTAAAAAAACATATAAGCAGAGGTTTAGTAATACATAACCAAGAAAAACTTAACGCTAAAAACGATTGTTTCGGAGTCGTCACGACACCATTACCAAGATTAAAATGATTAGATTAAACTGTAAGACCATCACATAGTTCGCTGAAGATTTACATAATTATTCTGGAATGTAACACAAATAGTTTGGCTCGAATTGAGTCCGATTAGACATTAACAGATGGTGTTAGTTATCTAATAAGGGGTTGTTTAAATAGAGGGAGAGAGTTCCTAGCACCAGGAAGATCCTAGAAGGCGGGATCATCCGAGCACCATGTTTTTTGTATTCAGTTTACATGCAAAAAGGTGTACTTGTTCCTAGCGCGATCTTCCTACCTTAGAAGGTAGGAAGATCCTAGCACCACGTAAACCGCCTTCGCTAGAAAGATTCTAGTACTAGGGAAAAATTATATCATATCAATTATTTGAAAAGAAAAAAACAATTTAACCTATAATTTTATCAGTGCCAAAGGGTAAATAACTACGTTAACATCATGCCAATTAAAATTATTACAAAGATAACAACAGTTGCAGCAAAAAACGTAATGAATGGTTGATTTTAAAAATAAGTATCACAAACGGATAAGGAATACACTTTTGGTGATGGAGCAGAATGGCACACAGGGTTACTTTTGAATTTATCAATTTTGGTGGCTCGTTAAATCTGAGAAAAAAATGTCTTACAATGTATATAATCTAATGGCTTTTTAGTAGGTGGTTGAAAGTGACCCTGTATTCTGACATTCCGGACTTTTTTTAACAAATATTTACCATTTCTAGCCGGAGCCTCCTTGTTGGTTACCGTGTTGTAATCTCCTATAATCGTAGGACCCCTCTGATTATTTATTGCAATGTTATACGTTGACGATTGTCCCGGTGTACCTAGAACAGAGAACACTTCATGAGATAAATGAATTGACATACTACATTTAAACATGGGTTGCTTGGACGCACGTATAGATAAACATTGTCATTAAATTAAAGGAATAAAGTAGTATAGTACATGAGGGTGCGAGCGCATTTTTCCATATTTTTGCTCCTTTTGGGGGTCATTTGAAGCATGTCTATACCATTTTCACATCCCATTTGAGATTATCCATTTGGACACAATTGCACGAACGTTTTCGGCTCCACGGGCCTCATTTGATCGATTTTATAGTACATGATGGTGCGAGCGCATTTTCCATATTCTGTATTTCCTGGAAGTGGCCGACTGGGTTTTTCCTGGAATTGGATACGATTTTCAATTTCATTTTGGAGGGTGCCAGAGTGAAATTCGATTTTAAATTTACTTAGGGAGGTGCAAAAATGATTTTCTACTTCTTGTGCACTTTGATGGAAATTCCTGGAAGCATAAGACACTTGAACGTTTGGCGCCTTATAATGGTATGCAGAATATGAACGCAGATATGAAAAAAATTATATATAGTAATAATATGAGTAATGGTAATCAATTTATAAGAAGATTATTATCTGGGCTTACAGACAGTGAGCTCGAAAATTTAGTACGTATGCGTGAGAAAGCACGCCCTATTCCCGTGCCAACAAGAAAACAGCAACAAGAACCTAGAAGGAGTGTACAAGAATTAATACGGCATTTTTAAGCTAATCCTATATTACAATATACGCAACCACCAGTGCCACCACCCAGAAAAAAGCGAACCAAAATAACCCAGAAAAGAAGAGCTCTTAATGGTTACACTAAATCATTTGAGATTGATGTGAAGAGTCAAAATGATCCAGTAGTTCAGCTTCAAAAGACAAGACTATCTATTAGTCAATTATTTGGTCAAATATTCTTGGTTTTCATGTGACGTCATCAAAAATCGAACTAAGAAATTATCGATTCTTCTGAGTTTCTACTTTCAGGAGGTATTACAGCACTTAAACACCTTTATATAAACAAATTTTTGGTTCCAAAGGCTTCTTCGTTTTGCGAGAGAGGACGCTTGGATTTCCAGGCTTTTTCGTGACGTTGCATTTAGCTGACGGCCAGGAAAGCTCTTACATGGGTTGAAAACATTACCGATTTTGGGAGATTTTGCCATGTAAACATTCCTTGTCTCAAAATAAATATTACTTAAATCTTTATGAGTTCCTCAAGCGAAGAATTCACGCATTAGTAAGAAACTCGAAAACAGATGTTTCTGTTGGTATCCGGCGGCCATACAGGGACACCATCATGCTGCGTTTCCATACTTAAGAAATGGTAAACGTGCAGCGTGCAACCATGGAGTTATGGATGCACGCGGGAGGTTGCTAAGCACGAAAGAAGTATAAGAGTCGCACGAGGCGATAGCCAAGTGCGACTTTAGCTGCTTGAGTGCTTAGCAAACCTCCCAAGTGCATCCATAACTCCATGGTTGCACAGCTGCAACGTTTACCATTTCTTTTATAACATAATCAAGAGAGAAAAACATTATTTTCCATTTGCCTTCAGTTGAGTCATCGGTCCGAGTTCATGTATACTGCCACGGCCCGCGCGTAAACAAATCATGTTCTATGTTTTTCAAAAACTTGCCTTTGAGTTTTTCTTTCGCTGAATCAATCGTTCTCCGTCTTCAGGTAAACGTTTTTCGTTGTTATTCTGAATGGCATCTGTGTACTTGCTCTTAATATCAGGGTAAAAACTTTCAGGGAAAACTATAGCTGCAACTATAAACACCAACTAAAAAGACTCTAAAAAAATAAGCTAAAACTAAATAAATGAAAAATTTATCAAACCTATTTATGTGACAATTCTTGAAATAAACGTAAAGTAGAAATGAGAAAATTTGATTGTAATTCCTTTAGAATAACAGGTAACACTAATTTTAAAAAGAAATGAACTAGCTTTGTATCGAAATCTGTCTGGGTAAATCCAGCTATGAAAGTCAAAGATGCAAGATAAAAAGCTTTATAAATTTAGGTAAACCGTTTTTCGGAATATCTCGCATTTGAAATATTGCACAGACCTGATTTTTGGCAAGGCTTTTCGTATATTTCTCTTCTTTCATTTCCCAGATTCTTGACGTTCTGTATTGAATGGTTTGCGTTTTTATGTTTCGTTGCGTGACAGGGCAAACCGATAACTGGCTGAAACAAAAGGATTCAAATTTGTGGAAACTTTGAAAATTACCTTTACTAAGAGAAAGGATGATAAAAATATATATAAGCCGGCCTATTTTAATAGTAGGGCGCAGATTGTAATTAATCCCAATGATTTCACGCAAAGTTTATAATTCACAGCAGCAACTACCGAATGGTATAGCTGTTTGGCTTTCAGAGGGTAGTGGCTGGACGATTGTAAGTATTGATAAACACTATATTAATACAGTTGTTTATGATGTTTTAAGGGGTAGTTCATATATACCTTTACCACAAGAGCTCCCAAATTCTACAAAGGGTTT